AAATTTAAATTTCTAAAAACGATGCATACCATCATCTTGCCATTTTTTTTAACCATAAACACAATATTAGACAACCATTCAACGTACCTGATTGTTCTAATGAAGCATGTCTTAAGGAGTCTAAGAATCTCATCTTTCACTTTTTGAATCACTTCAGGGCTCATCCGTCTTGGTTTCTGCTTGTGTGGCTTAAAATTAGGATTTATAGGGAGTTTATGTTCCACTGATGACCTGTCCAATCCAGGTAGTTCATTATAAGACCACGCAAAATAATCCTTATATTGCTTTAGGACTACCAACAACTGGTTCTTGTCATTGGTACTTAGCCAAGCACTGATGTAGGTTGATTGTTGTGCAGAACCTTCCCCTAAATTGACTTCTTCCAAAGGGTCCTGTATTTGAGCACTTACTGATGCTTCCCCTTTGACTTCTTTTATCTTCGAAGTAACTTATTCATTGTGTTCTGCTCCCACCTTCTCTAGTTCAACATCCTTGTTTTCTTCCTCATAGACAAAATTTATCCATAAGGCTTCTTCTTCCTGTATTTCCTGGACTTTTGTATCAATGTCCAATGCATAGTACTTATCAAAGGCCAAAGGCCTGGCCTTTTGTTGTTCCTGATTACGGCCAATCACCATAGCTTCTCTCTCTTGTTCCTACACCCTCTGGACTATCGACTTTAAGTCTAATACTGATAACTTGATTAAGGCCAAGGGTCTGGCTTCTTGGTTCTTATCTTCTTGCTTACAACCAAGCATCATTGTTATCTTTGGTGACGAACTCTTCATCAACACTCTTCTGCACTAAGTGCTTCAGGTGTGCTACTTTCTCATCAGCCATCACTTTGGCTATTCTATCAGGCTTCCTCAACACACTAAGCGGTACAACTCCTTCAATGTATAGCTTGGCCTCAACAAAATCAGCACAAGCAATAAAAGGTTGTGAATCTGCATTGATTTCCTCTGTTTCCCCATTACACAGAGCTATCATCATTTTCTGATGTAGAAAGGAAGGCACACACTTGTTGGTGTGGATCTAATCCCTGCCAAGTAAAGCATTATATTTGGCGTTACTGTCTATAATAAAGAATGCTGTCATGCAATCTCTAGTTCCCATACTTAGGTTGATGGGCAAAATGCCCTGAGCTATTTGCTTATCCCCAGCAAAACCAGCAATGGTTGTGCTGGTTAGAATCAACCTAGGGTTTCTTTTTCCCAATTTCTTCAAAGAGGACCTTGGAAGCAGGTTTACTGTTGTACCATTGTCCACTAACACCCTGTTCATTTGTATCTCATCGAAGTAGGCCTTGATGAGCAGGTTCTTAACATGCTAGGTCATAGATATTGTAAAGTACTCGAAGGGACATGAGAGGTTAATGCTCACCTCCTCAATTTCCTCATAAGTTTCCATTGGTGTGGCCATTTTTGACTCATCTTGAACTATGCTGGCTTGTGAATCTTCACTAGAAACTGGAATGGGGTCATCTTCTTGACCTTCTTGGTTTCCCTCTTCAGCCTGAAATTCCTGTGGCAGCACATATACCATATTTAATGGCATTGGGGGGAAATGAGCCAAACTAAACTACTGGCTATACTTGTTTCCCTTCCAAGTTAACTTGTTCCGCTGTTTCAAAAGCATTTTCCATACTGCATTTTGGTATCTCTGTGCTGGCAGGTTCCTTCGAAGCAGCATGTTGGTGATTTATCTCTGTTGGCTTGTCAACCAGAAAGGTCTATTCAGCCATGAAGGCCTCAAACATTTCATCATCAGCCACTGTTCTCTCTTGGCCTAACTCAGTCCCTTCATCTGTCTCTCCGTCACTTTTCATTAAGGCTTTCTCGAGGCCTGCTAAACTGGATTTTTCTTTGGCTCTCAGTTCAGCATGAACTTTAGCCAATTGCTCCATGTGGGCACTCCTCTTGATCTTAGGAACAAGCTTCGAACCTATCCTCTTATCTGTCTAGTCTGTTGCTTGCGCCATGGAAGTGCTCTCTCTAGTTTCTTTCAGATCCCTCTAATACTGGGTGTATCTTCGCTGGATCTTCCTCCTTTGAGACTTATAAATCATAGGAACCATATCTGGCTCCCTTGTTTTTGGGTTCTTTAACAACACCTAATTGTTTGGAGCCACCAAGGGTAGTTTGATCATTCTTCCCTAGTCTCTAAAAACTTTCCTTTGGGTAAGCATTTCTTTAGGTTTGTTTTGCATGACAAACCAATTTGGAACTCTTGGGACCTATGAGCCTACTGGCCTGGCTGTTGGATCTGTTGTCCCACTCTTTGAAGCAGTCTTCAAAGCAGTCCTTGGGGGCCAATCATCAGTCCTGGTCCCATGCCTTACACTGATTCCATGTTTCCTTTCAGGCTGGTGGTCTACCATGTAATAATTGGGTGGCCTAGTTTCATACAAAGGCCTTTTACCCCCTTGATTGCATCCTGACATCTGGTGGAATAGCTAAAGATGAATGTTGTCTAGGACCAGTTGGATATCGCCTTTTATTGTAGGTGCTGGCTGACTTTCGATCCTTCTATACATCTTTATAATATTGTTTCCCATTAACTGGGAGCCCCTTCAGTCATTTGTAACTCATCTTGCATCTAGGACACATCCTCTGCACTACAGCTACCTCAAGGGAGTCATCATCTAATACCTTCTCAGTAGAGTCATCCCTTTGGCCTGTAGAGTTCTGTCCACTTGTTGGTGAACTTCTAGTGTCCTTCTTGAAGACAGCTTGGCTAATCACATGCATTTGCATAGTGACTTCCTCCAATTCCTTCAATGATAGGTTTTGAAAATCTGGCATGCCAACATTGGCTGCGGCCTCTCCAATCTCTAGAAATGGGTTAGTGTCAATTTCATAGTTTTCTCAGTCTTGGCTGGAAACTTTAGCCTCTCCTTCTGAATCTGTTCTTGGATCCTATCTCGAAAAACAATACAGTTTTTAGTTGAATGAGTCCAAGAATTGTGCCATTTACAATATAATTTTCCTTTACGTTCTTCAGAAGTAGGGATCTTAACTCCCTTTGGTAACTTTAGAAAATTTGCTGCAAGAAAATGATTAAAAATGTCATCTACTTTTGTTAAATCAAAAGAATACTTCCTATGAAGGTCTTTCTTTTTAAACTGCTGGTCTATTGTACTGTCTTTCTAAATTAATGCTTCACAAGTCATAGGTTCTTTTCATACAATCTTTGCTGCATCAATTTCATAATTAGGGTCTCTATAGTATGTCTTACATGATGCATTACTTCAATCTTGTTTCTCCTCAAGTAAAGTTTCAAATCTGAACACCTTATAGGTTAATTCCACTAAGTCTCGAAACTCAATTGAATCAAACTTCTTTCGAAGCCTAAACTCCGACCCATTTTAAGCCAATCTCATAATTCAAGCTCGAGTAACATGACCCTACATTTGTTTCGTTCCTTTTTAAATCTGGCAATAAACTGAGCATCCTTCTCATCAGGCCTTTGGCTCAATCTTGCTAATTCTGCCATAGAAACCTTAGGTTCTGTTTGGAAAAATTGGGCGTGAAAAATCTCTTCCATTTGCAACAAAGTTTGGATAGAGCCAGGTGTAAGGTTTATATACCATATGAAGGCTGCTCCAGTTAAAGAGTTTAGAAAAAGTCTCAGTTTCATGTAATCATTATTGGCAAACTCACCACACCGGCCTGTAAACCTAGCAATGTGTTCCACCGTTGACTGGTTTCTATTCCCATAAAAGAGGGCAAAGTCTGGTATTCTAAACCCCCTAGAATACTCATATACCCTATCCACTCACTCTCTGTAAGATTTTCTGTACACTGGTGTTTGGACCCCCTGAGCATAGGTTCACACATTTCTCTAACTATATCAGCAATTTGGTTCCTTGGAACCATATTTTGTGCTGGTTGAACCACTACTGGAGGAACAAACACAGGGTTTGGAGGAACTCCATGTGTTTGAGGGCCTCTTGGCCCATATATGAGTACATTCAAGACTGGCTGTCCTTGTTGCAGTGATTGTTGTTGGAGGTATGGCTGACCTCTTCGAATCTGTCCTGGGAAAGGCCCTACGAAAGGTGTTATAGGAAGAGGAACATGTGTTGTTTCTCTTCCAACCGCAGGAAATCCCTCTAACCCCCCGGGTGTAAATTCAAACACAGGATTAGTGAAACCCTATGTACCAGGTATGGCTTCAAACATAGGATTTGGAAACATCCTCATACCATTCTCTTGTGCTGGCCTAGATCCACTAATTTGTATGGTTTCGCTAGTGGGCAATGGTACATTTTGGTTTGTTAGTGGTCTTAAAAGAGCTTTGTACCATGACTGAGGCACAGGTGACATTCTTTCATGGTTTTGATTACTAGATTGACCATTAGTTTGTCCATTATTTTGCATAGGCTGTTTGCCTCGAGCCAATCTATGCAGAAGAGAATTCTCGTTCTCTTCAACCTGTCTTGCAACAGTTGGTTGATGAGAGTTCATTTGATCCAAAAATTGTATACATTAGTTGTTGTCCCATAGCATCTACTAAACCTCCATGGATTTATTGGTTGGGTAAAAGGGACAGTTGAAGGTCCAATTTCATGGCCCTGTCTAGTATGTTGGACATGCGTTGTATATTCCGAAGTGCTAGTCTGTTCGACCATTTGTACAGGATCTGATAGGATAGGTGCATCAATTACATTATCCTCTGGATTAGATATTTCTACCTCTCATTCCATACCCTCTTCCAGGCGTTCATTTTTTCCTCTTGCTCTACGTCTAGCCATTTTTAATAGTCCTACTGGGGGTGCCAAAAATATATGTTGATTTTTTTGACTTTCGAAGGTTAATAGTGTAAATTTAAGCGTGCCAACAAAGATCAATCAGCCATTATAGAATTTTAATTGCCAATCAATTATCAGGCGATTATGCTGAAGTTCTTTCGGCCTCAATGAAGAGGATTTTTACTGGTGACTTGTTTGAGGAGAAATTTATAAGAAATAAGGAGTACAGAACAATTCATAAGCTGAATTTCATTAAACAAATAGGAACTTACAATGAAATAACTCCACCTTAAAAAGGTTTACAACAACGACTACTTGAAACTACTCCTAGGAAATGAAGTACAGTACAAGAATTAAAGTGCTGGGAATGTAAAGAACTGGAAATGTAAAACTGGAAAGAAATATAAAGTAAATAAACTAGTTTTTGGATCTGCGTCTGAGTCTTGAATTCTAGGGTCTCCTCCTCTATTTATACTTCCCAAAAGTAACCGTCGAAATGGGTTTCTAACCGTCGAAATGCACTTCCACGATCTTTGGTCATGGCTTCGCACAATCAGCTTCCACTACGCCATTCCTTCAATTAGGCTTCCCTCTTGCATTTGAATTCGAATTTTTGAGTAACCGTTGGGCCATATTACCCCGCGTCTTCTCACTGCTTCCATGTAATACAAACCCACCATTACCAAGATGAACTGCCACGTGTCCGTTACTGATTGGAGACTTGCATTAATTTCCCAAAACACCCTTTATGAGCCACGTGCTAAGTTGCGACTGGCCGGTACAAAATATATAGTCAACCGTTTATAACTTGTGGACCATTAATTGTTATTATTGTTGATTTGAAAAACAAAAAATTTAAGCCTAAACTAAAAAATAATAAAAATAAAGATAAGATAATGAATGCTTATTTAATTGAGAATTTTACAATATACTATCCTTATGATATGCATTTTTAGTTAGGACTAGTTTTCATCTTTAATTATAATATTATTTTAAAATTTTTGATTATGTCTAATATAATAATTGGTTATGATTTTTTTTAGTTATAATTTAAAATATGAAATTATGTTATTTTTTTATTTAATTGTAAGATATATACTATACACACTTTTTGAACGACGTGAACCATACTCCTTCCCTGGAGCATCTGTAACTGGGACCCAAGCATTGATGTTGACGTGGTAGGTTATGGGTGGGTGTTTACTGTTCTTGTTGGACCTTGACCAGGGTTGACCTTGTATGAGCACAGAGCTCTTAACACCTTTGATGCAATTACTTGGTGCTAAATTGAGCTAGTATACCATGAAAGTAACCCTCATGCTTACTTCTTTTCATTAATTCTCTTTTTAAATGCTTAGAAACACATAATTTACATGCATTTAAGTTGATTTTCTAACACTAATGCTGTGTTTGATTGGGAGATTTAGGAAGAGATTTGAAAAAAAAAAGGACAAGGTGTGTGAAACTAGGTAAAATGTAAGTACATTTTATTCACATTTCACCTAACTTTTCCCTTTTCCTTTCTAAATCTCTCCTCAAATTCTCTAACCAAACACAGCGTAAGAGTTTGTATGAGATGTAGTTAAAAAAATTATTTATTAACTAAATAATTTAGAAAGTAAAAAATGTCAATTTGTCACTCGTTAAAGATGTCAAAAATAACTCAACTTTCATTAAAAAAAAAATTACTTTTTTAACAACTTACTAAGCATGTAACTCTTTAGTTTTTATGAAAATTAAAAAGTCAAAAATCACTAAAAACGTCCATCTACTTTGGCGAAAAAACATTTCACAAATTACTTTTGAAAAAAAAAAAATCTTCTAAAAAAACACTTCATTATTTGATTTCAATTTTTAAATTTTTTGTGGCAGTGATGGTGTGATAATTGCTGTGGCAATTGTAGTGGTGGATGCATGGTATGCTTCATTAGATGCAGAAAATATTTTTTATTCTCAACATTAGTTCATTAATCTTTGATTATATAAAAAATATATATTTTCCTTCAAAACAAATAAAAAGCAGAAATGTTAATCAAATACCCCAAAATGGATGCGGGAGAAATAAAAAAAGAGTCGTTGGTCTCCTTGGCTAGTCAAGACCATAGGTGTTAATCTTTGATCAGAATTTATTATCAAATTTTACTATATTTCCAATTAAAATTTTCATCCAAGCAAAAATAATAAATAAATAAATAGAATTAAAAATTTTAAAGTAAGCAAGCACATGTCTCAACTTGCATGCAACTTTTACTAAATAGATCATGCATATATTTTAGGTGGTGTATTTTTTAATTATATTGGATTATGTAATTATTATTTTTATATTTTAAATACATTAATTATATATATTTTTATTATAAGATAAACACACAATAATTTATCAAATAATTTCTAATAGAGAGACACAAGATTATCGGCCGGGTTACAATTTTTTTTTTAATTAAAATTGTTAAAAATTTCAAATGTCCTATTAAAAATTTTGAAAAATGAGTGAGAGCACTAATTACTGATATCATTAATGATGTGGTAGTTGGTCTCACCACGAATGATTTGATGTTTTGATCTTAGTGTTGTATTTTTTTTTTTTATTAAGTGCCATGTGATCATTTTAGAACTCCAAAATTAATGGTCTCTGTTATTGTTGAAAAATTCTATCAAAACACTCACACACGTAACGATAACGCGCGAAATCGCGAATGATGTAGAAGATTGTCTGGCCTTCAAAAAGAAAGAAAAATTTGTGGGATTCCTAATGAATGGACGAGACTGACTGGGGGGAGCCCACTAGGGATGACATAATATCACTTCAGTTGGACGGGACCAACCCCTTGCGATTTTCTTTCACAAACTTTTAATTTTTTTATTAATAATTATTTTTATTAACTTAATTAAATTATCAAATGCGAACTCTCAGATTTTCAAAATTATATACAAATTAAATAACTTTAATTTATTACTTCAAATAAAATTAGGATTAAATCACTCGTGATTCTATTCATACACACTAAATTTATCGACACATGATATAATTAATTAGGAAAAAGCTTTATCTAGGGTTGAGTTTTCATGAGTTCATCACAAAATCTACATTGATAATTCAAATATAATAGTACTATATCCATACAATTTCTTCTCACAAATCCAATGATGTGACAAAATTAGCTAGAAAGTTTTGAGAGAATAAAGAAATATAGGATCGTGAATTATTAATTTGTCTTTTTCTTACCACATCATTCGGAGGGTTTGTGGAAGAGAGAAATTGTGTGGATGAAGTATTTTTCAATTCAAAATACTCATATCAAAGGCTCAACGATAAGATCATTCTTACAAAAAAATTAAATTATTTCGACAACTGTAACCACATGCTTAGATCATATTTGTCATATAAAAATAGACAACAATTTTAATTTTAATTATACACTGTATATTACTTTAAAAACAAATACAATCTAATAATGTATCTAAAATATTCTCATTAATCTAATTTTGTACATGACTTTTTCTTAAAATAAAATTTAAAAAAAAAAAAAATTTGCTATATTTTTGTAGGTGTTTTAGGCATTGGGAGTAAAGATTGACAACACTTTTAAGGCTTTGTTTGGGATGTGAATTACCTTTTGACTTTTTAGTTATTTTAATCTAGGATTAAAAAATTTCGTTTATAATTAACTTTTTTAACTTTTGTGAGAGAAAAAATAAAATGATTGTAAATTAGATGTGACATTTTATTCTATTTGACTAAAATAATCTATTTTGTCCTATATAACTATTTTAGTCCAAACACCCATCCTAAACGGGCCAAAGAGAGGCATAATCTACACTTCATACAAAATTGGAAACTCCTTCTACCTATCAAGCGGACACAAAATTAGAAAATGTCCATGTTGCTGTCAAATTTCAACTACCAAAAATGATTTAGAGCTCTAAAGTCACCATTAATGTGTTGACAGTAGGGTCCATCACTACTGATGTAATAGATGTATCTTCTTATTTTTTATTTTATTTATTTTTACTTCCTTCATGCCAGCTCATTAAAACTGACATTAGAGCTGCTAAGTTAGAACTCCCAATCACTGCTATTACAACTACTACAACTGTTCCTACTACTACTTCCAAAGTTAGGTTCATATATATAATTAAGTGGGCCGGGCCGGGCCGGGCGAAGTTTAGATTGACTGGTCAACATATTTGAGCTGGCCCATTCTATATTCTTAAAACTCGGGCCCTAGGATGGCTTTTAAAAATATAAAATTTATGGGCTTAGACCAGACTTGGTCCATTTGGACTTAATTTGGGCTCTAATTTTGATATTTCATTAAATTTAAAATTAATTATAAAAAAACTTACAAAGTATAATATAATATTTTAACATGCATACCAACAATCAAATTTGCATATTTAATAATGAAAAAAAAAACCTTTTATTTACTGAAATAAAAAATTTGCTTCCATTATTATGTTATTAAATAGAAAGTGAGGGAAAGGAAGGGGCGGGCAAAAGATTGAAAAATAATTTTAAATTATTATCTTTTGTTTGACCGAACTCATTTTAAATATTTTATTTTTTTATCAGTCTAGTCGGGCAGAATTTAAGAGTATAAAATGTTGGAAAATGTTTCATAGCTCGAAACATTTGCCCCGAATAGCTCGATTTCGAAGCAGAGGGGAAGAGAGAAGCAGAGGGAAAGGGAGAGAAAGAGAGAAGCAGAGAGAGAGGGAGCGAAAGAGAGGAGGGGAAGAGAGAGAGAGAGAGAAGACGATCGTTGCCCAGTCACCGATCGTCGCCCCGCCCAGTCGTCGATCCGTCGATCGTCGCCCAACCCAGCCCAGCCTTGCTGCAGCCTCCGATCGCCGTCGTCCCGCCTCCGCCTCCTCCTCTCCCGAATATTATGCCCCCTCCAGTCCTCCGCCTCCTCCTCCTCCCTCCCTTCTTCCTCTTCCTTCTTTCTTCCTTCTTCTTCCAAATCTTCGTTCTTCTTCTGTAAAAAGAAAAAAAATCAAGTCATTCGAACTTCTCGTTTTCAAGATACGCGCGGTGGTAAAATGTTTTATAAAAGGAAATTTTTAAAAAATCACGAAACACCCATTTAAAAGAACAAAAGTCAAAGATGGTCATCAAATCAGTCGGTCCAGCAGTGATTTGATTACATATACCGTTTGATTCCGCAGAAAAGGAGATTCAGATCCCATGCTACGAGGCAACACTAACTATCTCTTAATTATCAAACTCCTCACCGTACGATGGCCGTATACTCCCGTGCGATGAGGATTCGTGGATCCATGCAACGGCCAGTAAACACGGTCCACGTACTCGCCAACAGAGCCGCAAGATGCGAAACCGGCGAAGCCGATACAACAAGTGGTGACAGAGAGAGAGAGAGAGAGAGTGAGACACTGACCCTGGACAAGATCGTACAAGTCATGAGCTAAAATCCTTGCCCCACATTTTGACCATGTTGGTTGGCCTACTCAGCCATTTTATTTTTAAAAATTTATCAACTATACTATAATTTATTATTAAATAAATAAATACATTTTAAAAAGTGTAATTATTTAATTAAATCAATAAATACATTTTTAGAGTAAATCAGGAAATATGTAGAATATTTACAAGTAATTAATTTATTTTATAAAATTACTAAAATATCGTTTTGTTTCTTCTTTCTTTCTTATTCTGTACAAACTCTATTCTTACGCCAACCCTTCTTCCACCTGTATTGCCACCAACAACTGCCTTTCTGTCATCTCCTCCTCCTCCACCTCCACCTCTACCTCTACCTCTACCTCTACCTCTACCTCCCTACTCTTCTTTATTGTTTACAACCCATCATCGCCCTACTGTCATTTCTTCTCCTTTTGGTTTTGTAATTGATTTTATTTTATTTTTATTTTATAGTCAAACCATATTTACAGCAAAAATTTATTATAAAATCATAAAAACATTTATAATTTTAATTATTAATATTTATAAATTTTTTCACTTAATTTGTAATTATGGGTCCGTTTGGTAAGAGGGTTTGTGACTATTTTAGTCATAAAAAACAAAATAAATTTTTTTAGTCACAACAAACAAAACATCACATCTAATTCATAATCATTACTCTCTTCTCTCACAAAAAAAAAGTCAAAAAACTAAAAAGTTCTTCCCAAATCAAACTTTTTAGCCCAAACTAAAATAGTCAAAAAAATCAAAAAGTCAAATTAACTCACAACCCAAACGGAGGCTATTTTTTTTAATTCACTGATTTGATATTTTCTCAAACTAAAACCCCTGACAGAAGAGGGTTGGGTATCTTAACCACGGTTAGAGCCACCACCCCCTATGCTCTATTGCTAGAGAGAGTTAAGCTTATTTCCCCTCTCTTCACACACACACACACACCCTTTTTTCCAACCTATTTCCTCTCCCCCCTGTCTTTTCTTCTGCACAACAACTACTCCAACAAAATAATAGATTGCTACATATATATATATATACCCTTTGTATAGAGATGGATAGATGTGTAGACAAAGAAAAGGAAAGTTGTGGTTGATGTGTTTTTTTTTCTTTTTGTTTTTGTTACAAGTATTGTTGATTTTGTTCAATAGGAGGAGGGTTTGTATTTTAAGCAGGAAGTGGGAGAGAAAGGGGGGAGAGAGAGATGATTCTGATGGGTCTTTTGGACTATCGATATTGATTGGTGAAAGGTAGTATTAGTCTATTTGTTTTGGGTTTCATTTGGATTGATGATTGGAGAGGCAAGAGAAGTGAAAAACCACAAAAGCTTCTTCTTCTTATTTTTTTCTTTTTCTTTTTTTTTTAAAAAAGTAAAAATTTGTAGTAATCTGGGTATTGTTTGAATCGATTACTAGTAAGGTCGTGTTGGGTTTGAAGATCATCGATATGGGTAAGAAGAAGACAGCGAAGAAAACGAAGGAGGTATCAGTGGCAATAGCAGAATCGGCATCAATAGGTTCATCAGAAGCCCAACAACAGATGCCTAGGAAAAGGGGTAGACCTCGGAAAATCGTTGAGAAAACAGAGAGTGAAGAGATTAAGGAAGAACAAAGAGAAGAAGCAGCAGAAACAGTAGTTGAAGAGAGTGAATCGAAGAAAGCAAAAATGGGTGAGGAAGAAGAGGAAGAGAAAGAGAAGATGAAAGAAGTGGCAACATCATCATCAGTTAGGGATGCGAAGAAGGAAGCAGAGCTGGTGCCAAAGGGACTGCCGAGAAGCAGTGCTCGGAGAAAAGGCAAACCTCGTAAGAGCAGCTAAACTTTATCAATGAATGATTAATCAAAACTCTTTTATTCCTTTTTTTTTTTTTGGTGGATTAATCGAAGGATAGAAGATCAAAAGATGAATGATTTTTCATTTATACTTCTTCTTCTTCCTCCTGTGTTTTACTCTCTTTTTTTAAATTTTAGTTATGGTTTTGATTTGAATGTTGCCTTTTTAGGTTTTCTCTGGCTCTGATTTTATCATTCTCTGTCTCTTTAAATTAGTAATAGGGGAAGAAGAAGTAGATAGGCCAATGAGGGAGGGGATTCAAACTTTTGTCATTGCATTAATTCTAGTATTGCCAAATTATATTTATGATGAAGGCAAACAAGTTCAAAAAAGAGATTACCCCCAAGTTACATATTTTGATTTTGATTGGCTACTAACACACATTTAGGCACGTTTGGATATGATTGGTTTTAAGTATTTTCGAAGGGATATGTGGAAAGGAAAAAAGTGTATAAAATGTAACTTAAAATCTTGACACTTATTCTTTAAAAACTCATACTCGAAGACATCAAAACACAAGCAGAGATTTTTGTGATGGAAATGGAGATTGATCTACTAGTATTTTTACTCTGTAGCAAAGAAAAGAGAAGTTATCTTTATGTATGATGTTATATTGGAAAGGTAAGAGTTTGGTGGCATTGAATGAGGCGTGAGTGAGTGAGTGAGCCAGTACTGGTTCTTTGGGCAAAACGTGGATGTGAATATGGGTATTGAGATTGAGGGATATTTTGGAAAGATGGTAAAAAATTAGTTTTAAATTTTTTTAGTCAAAAAATTTAATTTTTTAGTCAAAAAATTTAATTTTTTAGATAATGGCTTGGGTAAAAAAATTAATTTTTTTGATTAAAAAAATTAAAAATTAACTTTTTGCTACTTCCCAAAATGACCATGGATTTTTTTTATTTTTTTGGAAGTGGTAAGTTTTTGGTTAGGAAGAGAGAAGAGGGGGGAGTACGACGGTAGCAAGGATCCTCGAGAGTGATTTTTTTTTAAAGTTTCTTAGGCTTCGTTTGGGAAGTCATGGTTTGGGTTTTTTTGGCTATTTTAATCACAAAAAATAAAATAAGTTATTTTAGTCATAACAAATAAAACATCACATCCAACCTATAATCATTACATTCTTCTCTCACAAAAAAACTCAAAAAAGTCAAAAAATCAAAAAGTCCTTTCCAAACCAAGCTTTTAAGCTCAGGTTAAAATAGTCAAAAAAAATCAAAAAGCCAACTCACTTTCCAAACGGAGGCTTAGAGTGTTACATTGTGTGGTTGAGATTTACTGGTAAGTCACATCAATTTTTCTGATGTGACTTGCCAATAAATTTCAATCATACAATGAAATACTCTAAGAAACTTTAGAATTATCAATAAATTTCAACCACACAATGTAACACTCTAAGAAACTTTAAAAAAATTTCACCATAAAGGATCTTTGGTGGTACGACGGAACGGAGTCGTGCGATATTTGGCTGACAGTGCCAGCTCTATGCCACTATGGATAAAAGAACGTTTTTCTATTTAATTAATTTTTAATTTTAATTTAATTGGGTGTCTCAGTTGACAATAATTCGAGTCGCTAGGTCATAGCACACGTGGGAAGCACGCTCCAATCATTATCAAAACTGCAAAACATATGAACTTACGACGTCCACATTTTCTTCATCATTAGATTCATTGGGTCGAAATTCACACAATTTTTCGTAAGTAGCATTACTAGTAAATTTAGGAAAAAATAACAGTACAGTGTAATAATCAAATTAAATTTATAAACTAATAAAAAAGTAATATATTTTAAAAATTAAAATGTTATATATTCTCTGTGATTTTATAATTTTTTTTGTTAGTGTCACAGGTTATTCCTTCCAAATTTAAGACTTTTTAGGCACCGTTTAAGAAGATGGTTTGGGAGTTTTTTTTAATTATTTTAATCATAAAAGACAAAATAAATTATTTTAATCACAATAAACAAAACATATAATCATTACTCTTTTTTCACAAAAAAATATTAAAAAAATAAAAAAATTAAAATATTCTTCTCAAATCAAATTTTTTAATTTAAGTTAAAATAATTAAAAAAATTAAAAAATCAACTCACTTTTCAAACAAAATATTAATACAAAATATTAATAGTATTTGTTGGGTTGGGGGGTTGTGGAATGCAAGTGTTGTGGTGGCGCGTGGTGAGAAGCCTCTGCCGACTGTCTACTATCAAACAGGACTCAGCCCCACTGTCACTGGAAACCCCCCTCTCCCTCTCTCTCTCTCTCTCTCTCTCTCTCTCTCTCTGTCTCTCTGTGTATGAATATGGGAGCCATCCAAAGGAGCTAAGACAGAGTCAAGAAAGATAAAGTCAGCAGGCAGACTGCATGTCCAGAACTATCTTCCTCCTTTCTTTCCAAAATAATGATTCCTTTTTTAAAAATTCAGGCCTTTGGTTTATTTTTTTTAAAAAATTTTTAAAAAAAATTCTTTAAATAAATTTTTAAGAATAATCAAATCAAATAAATTTTTTTAAAAAAATTTCAAAATTTTATTTGATTAACTACTTTTCAAAAATCATTCACTCTCTCTTAAACACATAAAATCAATCACTTTTTTAAAAATTCTCTCTAAAATAATTTTTCAAAGCCATTTCTAAAAAAAGCAAACCAAACAAATTTTCATACTTTTTATCTTAAAAATTACTTTATAAACACAAACCAAACACACAATCAATCTTTTTTAATAATGTAATTATTATATTTTAAAATTATTCTTTAATAATTCATTTTTTAAAATATATCAATTATCATAATTATATTTTTTATATTATTAATAAATTTTAAAAAAGCGTAAAATAGTAAATTTATATTATTTTATTAATTAATTTTTGAAAAGAGACTAATATTTTGAGATAATAAAAAATAAAATAAGGGAGTAATATTTTGAGATAGAAATAGTATATTATTTATAATTATGTATGTAATTTAAATAAATAAAAATAAAAATAAATAATAAAAAAATTAATATCATAATATATATTATTCAAATGATAAGATTTTTTTTTATATATTTTGGAATTTAGCTTTCACTTAATAATATAATAAGGATACAATATACACACAAGGGGGAGAGGGTGTTTTCGAGAAGCTAATTTCCATAGGCAGCGCAGCTCTATTTATCAGAGAGCTTTCATGCTCTACGTTTTTATCTCTCCCCGTGACTTCCCAATTTTATGAAATGCGTGTTTCCTATTCTATGGTTTTCATCCCCATCCTAACAACCCTGGGGTTTAAGCTGACTTCGCTATTTGATCATATGTGGTTTTCCCTTGAGCCCCAGACTAATCTCTCGGACTTTGGTATTCATCCTGTGCTATCCTGTTTTGAGTTCGGGGCCAATCTCTTTTTAATCCACACAGTTAGTTTGTGAGACTGGGCTTTCAAACTTGGGCAAATTGTGCATAGTGTCTTGAGTATGGGTGCAAATCTCTATTGCTATGCGAGTCCATCGTGACTTATTAGTACATGATTGAAAGGCTAGTTACCATCAAAGGGTAATAACTAACTCTTGGAGCATCTAGCTCTAAGAGTTACCCTTTGTGTTAGGCCTTTTTATTTTACATCTTTTCTAATCAAGATCATTTGTGACTTTGAAATTATTTAAGATGATTTAAATAAGTACGATTTTTGAATTGAATTTGAAGTGATGTGTTAAAAATATGATGTGACTTAAATAAGATAATGTGAGTCAAATAAGATAGTGATTTTTTGACTTTTTTAAAACTTGCCAAACCAACCCTTTATATGCTTCTTCTCAGTCACTATATATCTCCTCGGTTCATGATTCTGTCCTGCTTCCATTTCTTTTTTTAGTTCCAAACTCAGGAATTAACTTGGGAACATGAGCATGGCTCAACTGGCACAGTTTTACTTGCACCATCCCGGTGATGTTAAAAGAGAACCAATATATCATTCAATTTCATCCATAAACACAACACACGGATACCAACTACTGCCTCTCAAATGACGCAAGGACAAGGTATATGCATGGCATGCAAATCTTCTCCAATGCAACTACTTGGCTTGGCACTACCATAGATAGAGAATGCTATAGAAAGTCGTGACAAAATGGAAATAGTGGAGGCCCCAGACTTTCACATAATAAAGTTCTCTAATTAATCTTCTCTCTTATTAGCTATTGCTACTCCCCTTGACTATGACATTTCTAAAAGCAATGTATTATTTATCCACCCAAAATTTTAAACATAAAAGGTACTCAACTGTATACAGTGTTAATTTATAATTTGCATGATATAAACCACACATAAGATGAATATGATACCCACATTTTGAATTTTGAATTTGTTTTTGGATAAAAATTCTGAATACATAACGTTGTCTCTAAAAACATCCAATTTCCACCTTTATTTTGACCAAGTATGATGCTAAAATTTCAACAGGAAATGTCCCAGCATCTTCATGTATATAAAAATCAATTTTACTTGTATATTACTACATAGCACTTGACCCACACCGGCCTATATGTATGAGTTATATAATATATTTGTAGCCTTACCAATATTAAACATTGTAAAGGCAAACATTTAAGACAAAAAAAAAAAGAGAAGTGAATAGCCAAGTACCTGAGATGGCATGACTTCAGTACCCCCACAAGGGAGGTCGAAGCTTCAAGCACTGGCAGAGGCACGGAAGTCATGAAGCTTAATCAACTGAGATGTTATAGACTGATCAGGGTTGTATCTCTTCTCCCTTAGGTTTTGATGATATAAACTGCAATTTCTACTCCATGAGAAAAGAAAAAAAAATGAAAATGAAAAAAAAGGTAATGAATAGGGTGATTATGTGGATATTTCTTTTCTCTATTTGGAAAATAGGAATGGTGCACTATGGTCCCCATATACTTTATTGATTATATTAAAAAGTAGCCTACCATCATAACCACATCCTCTTAATTGTTATTAATAATAATATACAATACTAATAATTGACTCACAAAACTTTCCACAAAAATCAGTTCAAATCCATAGTCGAATGCATATGCAAGTTCGAAAAGGGTGCTGGGTATCAAAGAAAATAACGCAATATTCTAGTTCCGCACAACCTCGAGATTTCTTGTCAAATGGTCAATCAAAGAAACAGAAGGAAAACATACATAAACAGGTACATATATATAGAAAAGAAAGAGAAAAAAAAGGGGCTGATGACTGATCACAGCAAATAAAAATGCCAGAACACAGACCTTTTTTTTTTTTTTTCCTGATCAAACCAGAACACAAAGACTGAAGACCAAAACTATGTGCGGAAAAACCAGAGTCTAAATTTAATAAATAGGTACCTCTCTATAATGAAATCAATCCAGACACAAATCATCACCAACAATTAAAAATTATTAGAATATCATTATGCTGTCTAATCAATTCCAATTAACATATAAACCAATAAAAAAATAAACAGCCAAGATGGATGCCAACTGTACTCGGATGGAGTACAAGAAAGGAGCAAAGTCAGCAGCCTGTGATGGGGCATGGGGCCATTTCAGCCACCTTGCACAGGCAAATAGTGTGGCCTCAGGAGCTGTTATGAAAAAGTGAAGAACTAAGTTATTAAAAAAAAATCTAACACATGAATAAATTTTGAAGGCAAAGGCTTCAACAACAGCAGTTCAGATTGCACTTGTATTCCCTGACCAAACATTTGAAAACAAAGGTGTGATTTTGCAAATGAAGATGAGAAATTAAAAGGCAAATCAAGTATTGGACAGAATTTCATAAACTTTGGGTGCTCATCTCCAACATAAATGATAATGCATTAGAAAGAATTTCAGAAACTAGGGTGTTCATCTGCACATCAAACTATCTCAAAACCCATGGAGACAGTCACAATCACAATCTGCATTTCCTTGTGCTTTTTCCTGATAATAAAAACTAAAGATATAAAAAGAGAGATTCAAAAGCCGAAAGCTCAAAAGCACAAGAAAGTTAAAACTGTTACTCTTTAAACATTTCATTGGCCAAAGACATAGGAAAAGAATTTGGTATGCCAAACCAAGCCATGCACGAGAGAGAAGATAAGGGATCCCATGTTTAAGAGTTCTAGTACATCCATGATCAACCAACACTGTCAACCATTCCTAAATCAGATTTACTTTGATTCCTCACATCAAACTGACAATTTGCTTCCGGAACATTTCTTCAATTAGTTAAGGGTGGACAACAGGCATTAAAACTTTCAAGCTCACATCTTTAATATCAAATAGGAAGTCAAGGGATAATATAAAACAAAAACGTATCCCATAAGGGATGCTTAATTGAATGAAATTGACCAGTACATAAAATAAGTTGCAAGGCACTTGAGCTCTCAAAATAGGACAGTGTGATACTGATACTCCCTCTATAACACTCAAAAAATTCATCATGTAAACTCAAAATAATAATGAAGTACATTCATTACCAAGCATCATATCTGCAAGGATTTGCACTCTTCTATTCACCTAAAATTCAAAACTGTTCCACAAATATAACCTAATCTTAGCGAACAAAATCCAAGCAATATTTACTAGTCTACAGTATTCCTACACATCCCTTTTCTATTGGTAGTCAAAATTCAAAACACACCTGCTAGTCAATGACTTGATTTATGATGTCGTTCCTTTCTATATCGAGATTGCCCCGGATCAAAGCCACCCTCCTCTGCTCCATAGACAGCCCAAGACGGTGAGGCAGCCATGTAATCATTGCTGTCAAAAGGTTTTCCACTAGCCACCTGAATTATGTAAGAATGTAAATTTCATGTACATATACGTCCATAGTGGCTTTCAGAACATAACGCAAGAATCAATAGGGTGAAATTACAAACCAGATCATGAAACTTTTCGTAGTCTATCCATGTGAACCATTGGCCATTAACCTTAAACTTGTCAACTTTTGCCAAGAGGATACAACAGGAGTGGGCATGTTCACAAGCAACCTCATAGTTTCCTTCACTTTTCTGAGCTAAAGCCTCTGAAAAAGCTTTCACGTCAGAATGCCAGGGCACATTCTCCATCGTCAACTTCGATGTAGCAGACCTGTTGAAAAATCACCTTGATTAGATCATTTAGTTTTGCAGATTAACAAAATAAAAATAAAAAATCAAATTAAAGAAAGAAAAAAAAACTTACGATCCACAATAGGTAACACCTTTAATTTCAACAAAATCAGGATTTCCAATGGCAAAGAGGCTAGAATAGGCATCTATGTCCTCTGTATTCCACCCTTTAACCAGTGTCAAGCGATAAACAGTTCGCTGCTGCTTCTCCCTGAGAGCTTTCAACGAATCCTGACATTATTTTTTGCAATATTTCAAATAAGTAGAGAGTTGACATTGTACATCATGGTAATCTGACAGTGCATATTAATGTGCTATGGAACCTAAGCTGGAAGATCACAAGAAGAAAATCCATGTCACCAAAATTACATATCTTTACCATTTCTTACGAAACATTAAACAGTGGGATCCATAATCTGATGGTCACAAATCGATTTTGGTGCCAAAAATGTAACCAGTTGGGTGATCATGGTCATAAGCCTTATCATGATCGGTCATAGTTAAATTTAATGGCCATTAATGGACAAAAACAATTTACAAAATTGCAGGCAACTGTTAAACAAGTCACCAGGAAAAGCAAACACATTGTTCATACATTGGGTATGAAAAAGGCAGTTGTTAGAACAAAATGATGGGTTGGTCTTCACATTCCTTAACATATATATATATATTTCTTTTCATAAACACTTTCCTTGACATAATAGAGACGGGGGGGAAAAAAACTTATCTATTTTTGGTAATGAATACCAACAAGAAACAGATAAGGCCTGGTTTTGGTCTTCACAAAAACCAAGGGACAGATTTATCCTAACATATACATCCAATGTTATATTTTAATAGTGAAAAAATAAACTAAAATGATAATAACTGACATGTACAGTTAATGATGAAATACCATATGATTTATGTAATTGAAAAACAGAAACCTCATTTAGCATGGGAAAAAAATCAATTGCACCAAGATGAGTTGAAATTTTTTCTTCAACTGAGTTAGTGTGAAGCAGTATGGATACAGATCTGGAAATAAGCTGTTCTGATTATATTCTCTCTCTATCACAAGTTATTAAGGTCAGCTCTCAAAAAAGCAAATTAATATGGCTAATAGATATACTCCTACGTAATAGAAATTTAAGGAAGATTACATTCAACCCAGTCCATGGCACGCCAAGTTGCAGATTAATGTGACCTGTTATTATTATTGAGCTCAACTGAAATAGAGAAGTACAGATTTCTGTTCTGTTGACTCACATGAAAGTAGCAAGTGACCAGGAATCAACATTTTATTTCTGGTTGAATGCTCTGTTTCTGTGTACTGAGTTAAACAGGATCATAATAAGATGGCTAAGTGAGACATAAGAATGTAGGAGTTATTTGCGTTAGACTATTTTGCTTTACATGTAGAGATCACTGTTGCCTGTTCTTCATTACAGTTATATCCCTTCCCCCTCTATGCCTCATAATAAGATTCCCAAGTGCAATGTAACAATATAAGAGTCGTTTACACGAGACTATTTTTGCTTTACATGTAGCTTATTTAGTTTTGTATCATTGTTGCCTGTTCTTTATGACAGTCATATCCCTTCCCTCTATGCCACGTAAACTTAACAAAATCCCCTCCTTTCACAAATTTTTTTTTTCTCTCTCTGATATACTTAATTGTTTTATACTAAGAAAAAAGAATTAATAAAAGATAGTTTAGGTGAACTATCCAGCTTCCAACAAAAGTTACTTACAACAAATCGCTCCCAGAAATCCCCAAACAATGGCCTATCAATTGCCTTCAAGCTGTCCTTTGTTGCAGCGTCTACGCTTACATATAACTACATCAGCCAAAGAAGTCAAAAATGGTTTGCATAAGAATCCAAAATCCAAAGGCATCAAAACAATCTGTGAAAAACCAAAATTGCAAAGAGAAAAAGAGGGTGGCCTCAAACCTGGGTCACAGGCTTCAGCATCCTGATCTTGTCAGGGAACTGCGCATTTGTTACAAGAAAAGTAGAAATACGCCTCCGATGAAGCTCATCTACAAGTGAGTTAATCTCGGGATACATAATAGGTTCACCAACAAGCGATAAGGCACAATGTCTTGGAGAAAGACCTTCTGTTAAGCGCTCCAGTTTAACACCTACAGGAAAACTTTCCTCTATCTCAGTTAGCAAATCAATTACTATAAAAACCAAGAACACTACCATTTGCTTTATAATTTTTTTACACAGTACTATAGCAAAATTGACTCACTTTAAATGGATCATCTGACTAAACAAAAAGTACAAGACCTACCTGGAACTCCTTTCATTTGCCTTATCATTTTTGTATGCAGATCTATAGCAGAGTTTACAATGTCTAAAGGGTCATCCATCTTCCACTGCCAGCTCTTTCCTACAGGATTTGTGTGATGCCTCCAACAAAAAACACATTTATTGGCACATGCCAAACTTGGAGTAGTCTCCATGCACCTATTTCATTCAAAAGGGCAAAAGTGGAAGGGGAAAAAAAGAAGAGAGGCAAATTCAAATTGTCAACTAACGCAAACATAGCTCATAAAAAAATCACAAGAAAGATTTTGAAGAAAGAGAGTAGAAGCAATGAACCTAAAAGCACACGCTGCCACACCATAAAAATGACTATAAACCTAAAAAGAGATGGTATTTCAAACGTGAAGGCACAAGGCCAGTTTCACTGGATTGCAGCTCTACAACAGTAAGGCACCAAATTGTGGTTGTCGGAACATGGTTCAAACAAACCCTATAAATTACCGTCTTGCAATAGAAAAGACACTGCAGTTTATAGACCTCAAATCACTAAGCTGTAACTTGAAATTGAAACCCATAAGACATACTAACACATCATGCATATCCATGTCATAGAATACAGAATACTAGTACAGCATTCAACAATCAATGCTAAATACAACCATAATGAAGTAAACAGTTACCTATGACTCTCTATGCCATAAAATGAGTGTTTGTAGCAACCTCCACGCCCTCTAAGTTGTGACTTGGTCCATCTGCAGAGTTTAACACCACTATGTGAACCAATAATTTTATATCCCTGCAAATATTATGCAATTTGAAGAGAGGAAGTTAAAACAAAAAAGGTGAAACTAACTAAATGATAAATGGAATAACTAGATATGTAAAGATATCATAAATATCAGCAAGCAGCAAAGCTATTAGATTCTCTCTTAAAAAAGACATCTCATGGTGACAATTTATGCTGATCATTATGAGTTTCTCTTGCATTAAAAGAATTTCTTTAGACAAGTTTTCCAATATTCTACATGGTATTTATTCCTCCACTCAATCTCCCAATAGAAAATGTGAGGGTTAATTAAACCTTAAAATATGAATATGTACATCGATTTGATGTATTAATATTGGTAAATTTTACCATAGTAATTATAGTTTCTTCCCCAAAGAAACAAGCAATTAAAAAAGTTGAACAGAAACAAAAGAATACACAACATAGTAAGGGAAAAAATAGAAAGACAAAGAAAAGAAAAAGAAAAAAGAAGATAAATGGCGAAAGTAACCGGAAACAGGATGGTTTCCAATAAGATGAAAAAGAAATAGGCAACCCAATCAATTCATTATTACACCAAGACTGGTCAACCAAAATATATTGGATTAGGTGGAACTATTAAAGGTGATTTTAAATAAGATTATTACATAATTTTTTAGTTGATAGCTAACAATTATAGACAGGACGATAGAGAACCTTCAAAAATTAAATTGAGAGCTAAATCAGAAGTCTAAAGCTTCAACAAAATATAAAAATTGACCATAACTAATGATATTATGATGTTTAAAAATTGAATTCTGAACAGCAACATTCAAACAGAAAGGTCAAATATTCAGAACCAGCAAGCAAATGACAGAAGAAACTTTGCAAATCAGTGACAGTTGCAGATTCAACAAAAACAAGCAACAGTTAAAGCAAGTGAAATAGTTAAACATAGTTTTAACCACCACAATAAATATAAAAGGAAAAAAAAAAATACAAAATCAACAATGAGAAAAAGAATTTAAAGATGAGTACCTGCTTCTCCAAGCTAGCTCTAATCACAGGAGTCACCATCTCTTTTTCACCATTCAATTTCCCATTAGATTGAATCACTGTCTTTGATTTCCTTGAAGGGGCTTTGCCAGCAATGTCCTCAAGATCAACAATACCCGACTCCTCCCCATTTTCTTCTCCATCATCATCATCACCATCACTGCTAATCATCTCAGAGTCACTCTCATTCCAACCCCTAACGCCATTTTCCAAAAAACCACCTTTCAGAACCTCAATTAACTTCTTAGTCCACCCATCGAACACCTCATCCAATTCACCCCCATCAACATCCCCCTCCCCAACAGCCAAAAGCTCCGCCGCCCCGAGCGCTCGCATCCGCTTCGAAAACTCCCTCGCCACGGCGTTGAACGTCTCGCCATAGGCCTTGCTTCCGACGCCGAACACAGCAAACCTACACTTACTAAGAAGCAAAGATCCAACTCTGAAATCTTCGGCGCTCTCAGCCAACCAATTGGCGAGAAATCCACCGCTAGGAGGTGGCTTACCGTGTTCCCAAGTGGAAGCAACGATCAGAACTAGGGTTTCGCGGTGTAAATCTTCGGGCTCGTAGTGATTGGGATCGACGAGGTCGAATGCGAGGTCATTGGAGGTGAGGAGATCGAAGAGGCGATGAGCTAGGGTTTTGGAAGTGCCGGTGTGGGAGATAAAGAAGAGCTTGGGTTTAGGAGGAGGAGGAGGAGAGAGATTGAGGGGGTGAAGAGTTTGGGAGGAGGAGAGTTTTTTGAGGCGGCGGGATTTGTAGAAGCAGTAGAAGGTGGTGGCGGAGAGGAGGGCAAGGAGAGTGAGATGAGCGGCGGCGGAGGATGAGGAGGAGGAGGAAGGAGAGGACATGTTCAGGGATGTTGATGTTGAAAGAGTGCGGCGATCAGTTTTTCATACCGTAAAAACTGTCTGCGTTTGGTTGTGATTTGGAATTATGATTTGAGTATATAGAGTTGTATTTTGAATTTGTGGGGTTTAAAAGTATAATTTGAGTGTAGAAAATTTGTTTGGTAAATAGTTTTAAAAATAGTTTTAATTTGAGTGGAGAATTATTGATTTGACATTTGATATTTGATATAAAATTTACAACTCTAAATATACAACTTAAAATTATTTTAAAGTACATAAAAAATTTTAAAAATTTTCAAAAAAATGTTTTTTCGATTATATAAAAATTAACATCATAAAAAAAAAAATCACTATTTCGGTCAATCGGTCGGACGACCGGCCGAACGTCCCGTCAGGTAAAATTTTCAAAAAAAATTCTGAAAAACGCGGCTGAGACAGAGCTCTCCGCAGAACTTTCGAAACGTGATTCTAAAACACTAAACAAACATCATATTCAAACTCTGATGTAAAAAACTAGTTTGAAAACATAAACAAACAGAGCCGAAGGCGATGTCGACAAAGGGCGTGGCCGCCGACACAAAGGTTGGGGCCGCCGACACAAAATGTTCTCTTATTTATTTATTTCTGATTCTAGTTTTTTTCTTTTTAAAAAATATTTTATTTTTACTATACATATAATAATTGATCCACTTAGACTCGTTTGGTAGAGTTATGCAAAAGTGATATATTATAACTTAACAGATTATGACTTATAGCTGTGAACATAAGTTGTTAACCTGTTTGGTACAGTTGTGAGATTATGAATTTAAGCAGCAGATTAATGTTTGATTAATAAGCTGTAAAATAGCTTTTTACTGTATAATTGTTTTTTCTACCCTCATATGATATAAAAATGATTATTTTGTCATTTTTTTCAGTTTTAATTTTTATTAATAAAAGTTAATATAATTAGTATTAATTAGTATCAATTAATATAAAAATTGATACATTTGCTAAAAATGAATGGAAGTATTATTGTCACAATTATTTTTCATTATAAATTAATTAGTATTAATTAATTGCTTAATTGGTATCAATTAATACCAAAATTATTAATTCGTATCAATTAATGGCTTAATTAGTCTCAATTAATACTGAATTATTAATTAGTATAAATTAATATTTATATTTAATTTTTATTAGTATCAATTAATATTAATAATCAACAATTGTTATTAATTAGTATCAATTAATAATTAATTCATTACAAAAGTATACAATATTAATTTATTAAAATTAATATTGATTTTTTTCTTTTTCTTGAGAAATATACAACTTTTTATTTTTTAATTAATATAAAAATATACAATATGAATTTATTAATAATTAATACCAATTAATATTGATTTTTTTCTTTTTCTTCAGAAATATACAATTTTTTAATTAATATTAATATTAACAATATGAATTTATTAATAATTAATACCAATTAATATTGATTTTTTTATTAATATTGATTGTTTTTTCTTTTTCTTCAGAAATATACAATTTTTTATTTTTTAATTAATATAAAAATATACAATATGAATTTATTAATAATTAATACCAATTAATATTATTTTTTCAATTAATATTGATTGTTTTTTCTTTTTCTTCAGAAATATACAATTTTTTATTTTTTAATTAATATAAAAATATACAATATGAATTTATTAATAATTAATACCAATTAATATTATTTTTTCAATTAATATTGATTGTTTTTTCTTTTTCTTCAGAAATATACAATTTTTTATTTTTTAATTAATATAAAAATATACAATATGAATTTATTAATAATTAATACCAATTAATATTATTTTTTCAATTAATATTGATTGTTTTTTCTTTTTCTTCAGAAATATACAATTTTTTATTTTTTAATTAATATAAAAATATACAATATGAATTTATTAATAATTAATACCAATTAATATTATTTTTTCAATTAATATTGATTGTTTTTTCTTTTTCTTCAGAAATATACAATTTTTTATTTTTTAATTAATATAAAAATATACAATATGAATTTATTAATAATTAATACCAATTAATATTATTTTTTCAATTAATATTGATTGTTTTTTCTTTTTCTTCAGAAATATACAATTTTTTATTTTTTAATTAATATAAAAATATACAATATGAATTTATTAATAATTAATACCAATTAATATTATTTTTTCAATTAATATTGATTGTTTTTTCTTTTTCTTCAGAAATATACAATTTTTTATTTTTTAATTAATATAAAAATATACAATATGAATTTATTAATAATTAATACCAATTAATATTATTTTTTCAATTAATATTGATTGTTTTTTCTTTTTCTTCAGAAATATACAATTTTTTATTTTTTAATTAATATAAAAATATACAATATGAATTTATTAATAATTAATACCAATTAATATTATTTTTTCAATTAATATTGATTGTTTTTTCTTTTTCTTCAGAAATATACAATTTTTTATTTTTTAATTAATATAAAAATATACAATATGAATTTATTAATAATTAATACCAATTAATATTATTTTTTCAATTAATATTGATTGTTTTTTCTTTTTCTTCAGAAATATACAATTTTTTATTTTTTAATTAATATAAAAATATACAATATGAATTTATTAATAATTAATACCAATTAATATTATTTTTTCAATTAATATTGATTGTTTTTTCTTTTTCTTCAGAAATATACAATTTTTTATTTTTTAATTAATATAAAAATATACAATATGAATTTATTAATAATTAATACCAATTAATATTATTTTTTCAATTAATATTGATTGTTTTTTCTTTTTCTTCAGAAATATACAATTTTTTATTTTTTAATTAATATAAAAATATACAATATGAATTTATTAATAATTAATACCAATTAATATTATTTTTTCAATTAATATTGATTGTTTTTTCTTTTTCTTCAGAAATATACAATTTTTTATTTTTTAATTAATATAAAAATATACAATATGAATTTATTAATAATTAATACCAATTAATATTATTTTTTCAATTAATATTGATTGTTTTTTCTTTTTCTTCAGAAATATACAATTTTTTATTTTTTAATTAATATAAAAATATACAATATGAATTTATTAATAATTAATACCAATTAATATTATTTTTTCAATTAATATTGATTGTTTTTTCTTTTTCTTCAGAAATATACAATTTTTTATTTTTTAATTAATATAAAAATATACAATATGAATTTATTAATAATTAATACCAATTAATATTATTTTTTCAATTAATATTGATTGTTTTTTCTTTTTCTTCAGAAATATACAATTTTTTATTTTTTAATTAATATAAAAATATACAATATGAATTTATTAATAATTAATACCAATTAATATTATTTTTTCAATTAATATTGATTGTTTTTTCTTTTTCTTCAGAAATATACAATTTTTTATTTTTTAATTAATATAAAGCTCTAGTTAGAAAAATAAAAGACATTTGTAAAAATCTACCAGACCTACAACTTCCCTTAGAATCAGAATACATAGTTGTAGAAATAGACGCAAGTCAATTAGGATGGGGAATAATATTATTAGCTAAACCTAGTAAATATGACAGTAAAAATAAAGAACGCATTTGTAGATACAGTTCTGGAAAATTTAAAGAAAAAGATACAACTATGACCAGCCTAGATTTTGATAGGAGTAGTATACGCAATAAATAAATTTAGATTATTTTTGCACAAACCTTTTACAATAAGGACAGATTGTGAAGCCATAGTTAGATTTCATAACAAACTAAACGAGCGTAAATTAAGTACTAGAAGATGGGCAAAATTTTTAGATTGTATAGTAGGACAGGGATATAAAGTAGAATTTGAGCATATTAAAGGAAGTGATAATAAATTAACAGATTGGTTAAGTAGAAAAATTTATTTAGAAAAAGAAGATAACCAGTTTAATTTTTGTGCAGATAATGGAGAACAGCAAGACCATGAACTTTGGGGGATTTTCTCTTCCCATTCATGAAGGCAGAACCAAGTTCAGACCCTTAACAGGGATTGAGCTAGACCCAGTTCAACAGTGTCTTTTAGATAACCTTTGGAACAGTCAGAACCACCCAGCTAAACGCCTTTCAGCCTTAAACTCTCTCAGTATATATTTTTCAAAAATCCAAAACAAGCCATTGTCTAAAAGTTTTTCTTTCTATGTAGTAGCTAAAGGAACCAAGCCTGGTATTTACCATGATTGGACAGAAGTAGAACATTTAGTCAAATATTTTCCCATACCTCAGTTTAAAGAATTTTATGATTTTGAGTCAGCCAGTACCTATGCCCGAAGACAAATAGGAACCAGTTACTTTATTAGCCAGATAGCTAAAGATTACCTGGACACATTGAGCAAGATGAGATCAACCATCCTTGCTACCAGTGGAGTTCCAGTTAGCCAGACAATTGGAAGCAGTAGTACTGGTAGTAGTAGTTCTAACCCTCAGATAGATTCTCAGAATCCTCTTCAAATGTGCAGACATTGTAAAGGCCTTTCTAGAAATTTTAAGAAAATTATGGATAAAGGCAAGAAGGTCAGTGAAGAGCTAGATCAGCTCCGAGACGAAGAAAAATAATTGAGAGCAACCGTTCGAACCCTAACCAACCAGCTTAAAAAATTAGCTCCAGAAAGAACACCTACCTCCTTACCTAGCCCAGAAATCAAACAACTCACCAGTGAGGAATTTGACCAATTGAGTGCTATAATGTATTTCTTCAGGCATTCTATCATTCGATCATTTTGTGAGAAAAGCCAAGTAATGGAAGACCTAAAACCTTATATTTATACCTTAGCCGAAGATAGAAGAAATAATGAGTTAGTCATTATTCAACAATTTCTTCAAGATCTCTCCATAGCAAGAGTTGACTGCCCCGGCCTAGCTTAGCAATGGACCTATACCTATGAAGATGAAGAGCAGCCCTGCTTAGACGAAGAAAAATGCAATAAGAGGCCAGAACATTTTGGTAGATATCAGTGTAACCTAGACTTCAGCATTTGCCTTTGCCAGATAAATTTAGCTACATTCGAGCCATTGGAGATAGAAATTAAGGGCGAAACTCATTATCTAACAGCCCCAAAATTGTTAGATTACGGCTTTGTCTCTAGACTAATTTTCACAGATCCAGATCAGACAGATAACTTTGGGCATAAGCTTGCTCATGCAGTACTGTGCGTAATGGAAGAACATCATCCGTATGTGGAAGCTTTGATAGATAGCAAACTACCAGAGTGGAAGGGAATATGGTGCAATTCAGCTAAACACAAAATGTACCTCAGAGGAACCTCTACATTCCCAGGATACCCAGGACTTCTCAATAGGAGAAAATTTGCTAGCAACTCTCTCTTAGCCTATAATGGAAATTATGGACATCTAGTCTGTGAAGATAGACATCAGGAGATACATTGTAATTTAGCCATCCCAGGATATCCATTCAGCAAAGAGACATTTGTTGATGAAAGTCAGTATCCTAACTATCACCATGGCGTCTCTCATGAATCACCGGTGATGGGAGAAAATGATCAAGAATGGTACGATGAACCACCCATGGGAGATGGGGACGACTTTTACGACCAACTCTCAGCAGCAGACCTGGACGACTTAGCAGACAGAATGCATGGATAAAAAATAAAAAAAACAGGGGGTCCCACTACAAGACTCATAATATATTTTGAACATGTTGTAGTAGATTATTTCTTGACTCTTTACATTTTGAAAATTTTCCACGAAGACCCAACTTTGAAGAATCACTCCAAGGGTCGACATCAATAATTGGCACTCTAGCAAAAGAAGACAAAATCCATAGAAGATAAGGATTCTCCTCAGATATCAGAAAAATGCACGCCAAAGACAAAAAGGATTTTGCAAATATTTTGTGTCTGTAATTATTTGAGTCTGTTAGTGATAAAGATTTTCCTTCACTCACTACTTTAATAAAGTGGATATTTCTTATCCTGCTTTATTAAAGAAAAGCTGTGAAAATCTTTATACGTGTCTTGTAATAAATTATAGTGTCAAAATTTTGTCAAAAAATGAGGATTGAATGATATGCGATGGGGCCCAAAGCAGTACCCGATATCATTATCCTAATCTTTCATTGATAAGATTTTATCCATAATAATAACTTACGTCCAAATCTATGCATTTATGGCATAGATATTATTGTATGAATCTAGGTAGTCTATTTAGGAGTCTATGGTCTAGGTAAAATAGCCTTTAGACTTTTTGTTTTCTTTGCCAGAACTTTTGACGAAATAATTTTTTGGATTGTTTCGACTTGTGTATAAATTGGCATGCTTGCCAATGAAGAAGGCAGAATGAAAAACACCCATTCACTCTGCATTGTAAAAATTTCCAACCCCTCTAAAAAAACCTCTACTTGTATTAAGTTTTTCGGAGTTCCAGAGTCTGTAATATAATCTTTGTAAGTATATTTCTTATTAATATGAAATGTGAGTAGTTTCTCTTTTTCCTTAAATATTTTGAAAGGGTAACTCTTCTATTCTAAAAATTTATTTTCTTTTGGAAAAACTAAGTTTATGGAATGCTTGTTTGCTCATTAGTATTACATGCTTTGAACCTTCGTAGTATCTGCTATTTTCTAATCTATTACTGAGTGACCTTAGTTGAAGAGCCCGTGTGAGCCGTGGCTAGGCGTTGAAGGGCAAATTGTAGGCAGAAAGGGAAAGGTAAAAATTAGAAAATAAAAATATACTATGTTGAACGAGGCTTAGCTTCAAGATGGGAGTACATGTAATGAAAACAAACATTGCCTAAAAATAGTTTTGCCAAAGAAAAGAATTTTAGAATAAAATGAGAGCAACTCGAGTAGAAATATTAAGGAAATATTGTCCATAAAAGAAGTTTAAAAAATCAAAAAATTGTATGCCCTTAGAAGAACTTAGAATTAAAATTAAAATTAGCACTGAACTAATACAAGAATTAGAAGATAAAAAATCAAGATATCAGTTTCTTTTATCATTAGCTTCTGGCAGATCTCTAGAAAATTACAGTTTAAAATTTTCTCAAATAAATAGACAGCTAACTGTAAACACAAGAAATCTTAAAATTAACTATACAACAGCTTGAAGACCTTCTAGCATAACTGTAGAATTAATTAGATTCTCAGCCCAATTTCAAATAGTGGTAAACCACTAACTCGTCTCCCCTAAAAAAATTGGTATCAGATTTTTATTTGATTTAATATTTACTCACCATTTATATTAATTTTAATGAAATAAATATTAGTATAATTATTTCAAAAGTGTAGAATTAAGTATAATTTCTCTAAACTCAGGAGAAAGTGTAATTTAGAAAATGTACTAAGTATATATATATATATATATATGGAAAAAATAGTCTATGGTCTCTCTCTAATTTTTAATAATGGAAGAGATCCACAATATTATTTTGTGATGTCTAAGGTCATTCAACCTCACATCCATATATCACAAAGAAATTTGACTTCTCTCTCTACCAACTTCTCCATTACTGAATCGTTCTCTTTTTGTCTCTCTATCTATTGTGTTTCTTCTCTCTCTAAACTGTGTTTCTCTTTATTCTCTTTCTTATTAGCATCATTGACGACCGACGTCGACAGAGCGCATTGAAGTCGATCTAAGTCGATATGTGAGGTTTAGGGTTAATGTAAACCCTAGGGTTATTGTTTTAGGGTAAATCGTCTTTAGAGAGAGAGAGATGCCTCTCATGGCGTCGGTGTCGTAGCAAATCTTGAATCCCTACATCTTCTCTGTGAATTAAATCACACATTCTCTTCAAGAACCTATTCTGCTATTTCAAGAACTAGTTTGGGATCGATGAGATAGCATTTGTTTGATCCATTTTTTTTTTTTCCTGTCAATACATTTGGTTCGAAGAAGCATAATAATCCCTTGTTCTGAATCTCTGGTATTTTGAATCAGTTATTGCTGTTTTGTGATCAAATCACTACATTTTCGAGAGAGAGAGAGAGAGAGCTTGGTGAGCTGTGTAGTAGGGGAAATTGGAAGTGTGTTGTCGTTTGCTCTGTTTTTTTGTGTTAAAATTTGAAGGAGTTGTTCAATTGGAATGGCGTTTTAGTTGATTTTGAAGGCCGACATGGATGATCGAGGAGGTTCATTTGTAGCTGTTAGGAGAATTTCGCAAGGCAACACCTGCCATTCAACTTCTGGTATATTCTGTGAACTAGTTATTATTATACCTATAAAACACTAATTTTTGGCACCTCTCTGTCTCTATTCTCTCTCGCTTTCTCTCTCTCTCTCTCTCTCTCTCTCAGGAATGACTTATACAAGTTCGGATCTGTCGATTGAAATTAGTTCATATAAGATTCATGCCTACTTGCATTGATATTTGTGGTGAGTGAGCGAGCTGCTTGCAGCTATTAATGTCTCCTTGAATTTTGTCTCAATTTAAAAAAATAAAAAATAAAAAATCTTTCATATATGATATGAGTGTATTTAACACAAGTATGCAAACAACTCAACGCTTTTGTTTTGATTTTTGGGAAATTTAGACAATGAGGGGACTCGGCAGTACATTGAACTGATTTTTGTTGTTAGTTGAGCAGATCCTGTGAGACTAATGAGTTGTCAAGTTTGCTGTCATTATTTTATTATGATTATTGTTATATATATATGTTTTGTGAGGTATTATTATCAAGCAAAATGGTGTATTTTGGGTTAAACTGGTGATGTTCCAGGGAGTTCATGTTTACGTTGGAAGACATGTTGGTTACACATTTCATGATACATGATAGCCAGTGCTTGAATAGTTGTCAAATTGTGATACAAATCATGTATAGTTTTTTTTTAATTGCGTAGTGTATAATTGTGTTGTAAGATATGTATGGTGAATTGTAAGATATTGACAACACTCATATAACCAACAGGATTAGATGACAGGTGTGAAAAATTGGAAATGCTTAATAATGAACAATAATATACATGCACGCACACACGAGAGAGAGAGAGAGAGAGAGAGATGGCAGTTCAGCACATGTATCATTATAACATGTACGAACAAAGATTATAACATGCAATTGAAGAAAACGAGTAGCTAATATAAACAAATTTTCAACAAAAAAAAAAATGTTAGGGTGTTTCACCCCCCCCCCCCCCCCCCCCAAAAAAAAAAAAAAAAATTGCCTCAACTTTGCGTTTTGGAACAAGGGAAGAATACGTTGCAACTAGAGGAACAAGGCAAGCTTCTGGATTCACTTGTAAAAGAACCGACTTGCAGATCAAATGCAGAGGAAGCCAGCAATGTCGTTGCTCTCTAATACAGAAAAACAATTTCGAGCCAAAGAAACTAGGGTCATACAATGCAGGCAGCTTAACAGAGCTTTAGGGCCGCCACAGGGTTTTCCGGACACACATGATGCCTTCTTTATCCTGATTATAAGTCATACATATCTCCCAATGCAAACTTCTGAAAATTCCTTCTAGCGGATCAAGTATCTCCACCTTGTCACGTATAATTGCCCAACCATTGGGCCTTAATAAGCGATCCATCTCCACAACAATTCCTACAGGCTGCTTACACCTACAAAACCGTCCTATAGGAATCAGGAAAATTGTAGTAATGAAAAGATGGTCGACATTTTTCTTTTTGTTTTGTGAGTTTTAGGTGTAATGTAATCAATGGAAATTTTTTTTTCAACATTTCACCACAAAGTAATATAGCATTATAAAAAAATAAAAAAAAAACCTGTACTCACTGGTATAATCACTGTAACAAGGCAATTCCATTATTTCAGAGATTCAAATATTAATTTCATATATTTTATTGATAAAGAGTAATGGAAATGGTAGAAAAGAAAAGCTAAAATTCGAACACAAGTGAACCAAGACTGTGACTGAACAATCTAAACCTTCACTGTAGGGCAGTAGTTTGTATTTGTTAAACACCAATTTCTGGTTTGCATCAAATGTTGGGCCTATTAAAACCTATGGTTTGGTTAGTCAAGATAGAAGGGCTTGCATGCAGCTAATTGCAAAGATTGTAATCTTTCATCCGAGATAGACAAATGAGTTTCAGTTTTACCTGTTCTTAAGCCTTGAGAAGAGATGATCTGCATGCAAAAGGTCGTATGATCTCGGGTAAGTACCAAAAGACTCGCACCAGTCATGATAGACACCAACAAGACCACGCTCAAAAATTATGGGAAGAGTGTCTGGTGCATGCATAGGGACCACATTCATCACCCAAACCTTCTGTTGTGAGAGGGCTGCAGCAAATCTGCAATTTTTGAAAAGGGAAAAGAACAATACTTCAAAATCATATGCCATGACACTTTTCCATTACCAAAAAAGGTGAAATAACAAAAAGCATAACTACCATTACAGAAAAAAAATATAGAAGGCAAAATTGAATCTTATTGATAATGCATACCCTCCATTTATAGCTTTCATGTCCATAATATTCCGGATATTTGACCAATCAATACCCATTCCAGTGAGGTACGACTTGTCAACAATAGCTTTCCAGTGTTCAGTGTCCGCAATCAGATTTTCTTTGTTGTTCATCCAGTCAGGATAAGTTTCCAGCCTCTTGGGCCATTCCTCAGGCCACTCCGTTCCACGCTGTTCAATGGAAGAAGGAAGGGTGTGCAAGCAACTTTTTATTGGAACATACCTGTGCCAAATGAAATGTTAATATAAACAAGGAGTTGGCATAAAAGCAAAATTAATAAGATCCGATGTAGAACAAGGCGACCAGTTAAAAGTTGTTAAATTTGGGCCAAAACACCCATGTTTGATCTGGAATGGCCCAATGATCAAAACTCACTGCTTCTCTGTGACTTAAGTTGGTTTAGCCTTCAAAATTAATATTTTTGCTACTTTTCAAAAGTTTTCTCTCCGCTTCTTGGTTTGATACCATTTGTTTTGGGATACTTCTTCTAGAACTATATAGTAACCAATTTGAGCTCAACTCAAAATTTACATTTTTGGCAATGTATTCCTTTTCCCTTATTTTTTTTAATTTTATTTTTTATCAACAACAAAAGATTTTATTACGGCACAAAGCCAGAATCAGTGAAATGAGGATGAGTCATCCTCTACAAAGAAAATAAAATAAATAAATAAGAAAAAAACAGTAAGAACGAAACATGACAAAACCATACTAGACCGCAACAAAATCACACTACATATCATTAAGTTATAAATAGTGATGCCAGTCTCCACTGGGGAATCCATTTTTAATAAGAATTACAATTTTTCATATTTCTCCATGTGGATTCAAGGTTTTCTTGTCTACTAGAACGATATATGTCGATATATAGTCCCTTTTGCTATCACCATTGCGTCAAAATCACTCCCTTTTTGGGACCATGCATACAATATTATGGAATCTTCTAGGGCCAGTCTGCTCCATATACTAGCTGATATTTTTTTCAGCAACCATTAACTGTAAAATACAATATTATGTTTATGCCATGAACTATAACCCGCTTCTACTATACCAGTTTACCACCTGCTGATTAGCAAGATGCCTGTTGTTCTCAATGTCACATGTAAATGTTTTGGTTTCCACTATGCACACGATTGTGAATGCCAGGAATTCTAGGGAAGGTCTGTGATACAGCTTTTGGGAATAGTGGAAGCTCTGTTTGATTGTCTTAAACTGTGGATCGAGTTGTTAATTTGGTAAATTTCATGTTCTGTTCATGATTCTCTCAATGCTTCATTGTCTTGTCTTCAAGATGGTAGCAATTTAGCAAATAACTTCAAGATTGATTGTTCACACCCCTTAAAGGAACCTGCCATCAATTCCTTCTACTCCAGCATTCACTAAAAACAGTACTCTTCGTAGTCACCTTAGAATATTATAGGCCAACATAATTTTCCATACTAAAATGTAGATTTCCCCAGTTTTTCAGGCACAACAGTTAATGTGACATATTGTTGGCACAAAAAGAAAAATTAATATAACAAATTGCAACTGTCAAATGAAGAGTCAAATGAATAAATACAATATATACGAAAAAAACACGTTGATCCCAGCTTACCAGGTGGCATCTGGGTTCTCATTTTCTTTGCATAAAGGAGGAATTCTCTTCCTTCTTAACTCATATATATCATTTGATTCTGGCTTCTGATAAATTTTGACACCTACTTCGCTGATTTCATCAGTTTTATGAGCCAGGATATTCCAACAGATGGATGCTGTTAGTTTAGACATAGCTGGAAAAGAAAAGCAAACATCATTAAAGAGAAAGGAAAATGATTCCACAAAGAAGGGTTTTCTTTTATAGATATGCACCAAGATAAGTATAAAGAGAAAGTTTCTTTCTGCATAGATGCGAAACAAGCTCTATATGCAAATAAACATGTCTTGAATAATCATCATCTGTTTTGCAAGTTCGAGCAACAAAAAAAAAAGTATAACATTTATTGTTCACATGTGGCAGACCTAGGTCTTTTTCAACAGCCATATGGATAGAAGGTGAAGTGGCCAACAAAGATCCCATAGAGGGGTTCATGTGACAGTGCACAGCAATATTTAAATGCACTGTCAAAGAAGAAATTGATCTTGAATTCAACTCAAAATTTGTTGGTGTTACTTGAGAGATGGAAGAGAAAACCCCAAGGAGCCTGAAGAAGAAGCCATTTACAATGCAAGTATCTTTAGGTCACCAACTTATTAAAAAAAAAAATCAATCCAGGCCATAGTGTCAGTTGTCCCAGATGAGCCCTAGCCAAAGAATTTCAATTGCATAAATGGTTTGGCAAAGGTTGTGATGCCTTGAGAGGAAATGTTTGCCCAATTAGAATGTAATGATATCATATCACCACAAGAAATGGAAAATAACAGGGTTATTGTCAGTCAAATGAGGGATATTAGGTATTCAAGCATCAATAATTGAAATTCTAAATATATATATAGTGGCCAAACCTTCTTCAACTTCGATGCTGTCATGTTTAGTTGACAAAATAAAATACCCACCAGGCCTCAAAATCCTATTCATCTCCAGAAGAAGCTTACCCCCTGAAAGAGATGGAAATAAAAAGTTCTCTTAATATCAATTTAGTGAAAGTTATTTAACTGACACAAAAATATTAATGGGGCAAAAAAAGGAAGCAGAAAAATAAAATACAAACCATTAGAATGCCAAGGAATGTGGCATTCACCACAATGAATAGCATCAAAAACACCACTAGGGAAAGGAAGCCTCCTATTCGCAAAAGGGCTCACAATTGCGGGAAAACCACGCTCAAGAGCGACCTGTGCTAGGTCCACTAGGTCATCCTTTAATCCTAGTGCAAGTGTCAAAACATCCTTGTCAAGAAGAGTAGCAGCAAAGCTTGAATCTTTACATCCACCATCCAATACTATTCGAATATTTTTTCCCCATTCAATGTCTGGTGCCATCTATCAAACCCAATCAAATTTAAGAGCATAAAAAATGGTCAAGGATAATAAATTAAGAACAAGAACTGAACCAGAAACCAGCCAGCAGAGCAGGCACAAGCGTGACATTCTCTAAATATAGCTAGGTTATTTGAAAAACAAGAAGCTATTACGAAAAGACATATAGAAAAGTAGAGAGGTGATATAACAGAAATAAATCAATAAGCCATTAAGCAGAATTCTCCGGGAAAATGTTAGTTTGGTTCTTGGTTCTTTTATGCACTTCCATTCAAATCTCATAACTATTAGAAATTAAGAAGCCTTGAGAAGCAAAAACCAAGAATATTATACGAGAGAGCTCCAGAAATTTTACCTCCTCAATGGATTCAAGATAATGCAAAATTCCACCCTTGAAATCAGACTGGTTCTGAAGAAAAGTGAGAAATTCTCCAGATTGCACCACCCAACTCTGGGTCTTGACAAAGGCAGCTAGTTTTGGATGTGCCACATTCTTATACAATATCTGCAAATTCAACATCAACATGGGCAAAAAATTAAGCAACTTCACATACACATAACTCTCAACTTCTAATGCAAATCGCATCAAATCAATCTTATATACCTTTAATTTGCTTTCAGGCCATCTTACTGGAGTCTCATACCCCTCATGGGGAAGAGGAACAAGGCACATTGGAGGTGTTCTTGGACAGCTTCTCTCGTGATGCCGATAACTCTGCACCCTTCCAGTGGCACTCTCAATATCAATACAAGGAATGTAATTATGCTTGCTTCTAGTGCTACACATTTTCCAAGTATAGTGAGAATTTGGATCGAACACCGGCCCAATTTTCTTCTTCCCTGTACTTTTCGACCCATCTTCAACCACATCATCAGTGGGAATCAATTCAGCATCCCCATCCAAATCCTCATTTTCTTTCTCTTCTCCATCCACTACTTCTTCTAATTCACCTTCTTGTTCTCTCTCCTCTTTTTGAAGCTCTTTAGTTTCAGATCCCACAGACCCATGATTCTTACTATTATTACCTCCCTCTTTTTTCTCAGTACCTGTTTTTTCCCCACCCTTGTGTGCATCAACAGGGACATTAGATGCAGACCCATTAACCCTTTTCTCATCTTTCTCTTTCAAATCAGACCCCAATTTCGCTTTCTTGTGTTCTTTATCTACTTGAACCTTTCTGGGCTCTTTCGAATGAATCTCAGAATCGACAAATTTCCCATTGGAAGATACGGGTTCGGCAATATCTGCAAATGTACTCCTCTGAGATACCACAGATGAAGAAGACGAAAACAGAGACCAAATCAAAATGAAACAGAGACCCATGACGGCCACTGACGTCATCTTTACGCAGAACCCATATGAGCGTTTTGCTTGTCGACCAAACCGAGCTATAGCCATCTCTCTCTGAATCCAGTAATGATTTTGTGCTTTTTACAAAGAAAAAACCCAAACAGAGATCATCAAACTAGGAAATCATCATCAAATCAATGTGTAGATAAGAAACCCAGGAGTATAAATCAGTATAAATTAGCAGAGTGAAGTAGGCAAGAGAAAGTGATAGAAATTAGCAGAGTAAAGTAGGCAAGAGAAGTGAAAAAGGAGTCACAGATCCACGAAAAAAACAAAAAAAACTCCTTCAGAAGAAGGGAAGATAGTTTCTACCATTATGCTCTGTGCACACCCTTAATAATAATCAATGTGTTTGATTTAAATTTTTTAAATTAAATTTTTTAAAAGTTGAGTTTTGTAATTTTCATATTTTTTTATTTTTAGTAAATATTTTTAAAATTTTAAATTTTTTATTTTTATTTTTTTAGATATATTTTACTTATATTTAAAAAAAAAATTAAAAATTAATAAATACATAAAAATACAAAAAAATATACTAAATTCTTTTTTTTTTTTTCCATATTTTTAGTATTTAGTGAATTTTTAAAAGATTTTTTTTACTTTTTATGTGTATGTATGTTAGGTGTGTCTAAAAAGTAAAAAAATTGTTTAAAATATTAAAAAAGTTCAGTAAAAATAAAAAAACACGAAAAATAAGAAAGTAGAATTTTCTGAAAAGTATTTTTAGAAAAATGAAACCAAGCAAGCTAAATTATTTTTAATATAATTTTATTTCTGAGTGAAATTACTATTATGAATATCATACACAATTCAAATAAACACATTCGGAAGTTGAATGTCGAAAAAATGAAAAAAATTCGAAATTCTACAATCGAAAGAAATGATAATTTTTGAAATGCTACTTCTGAACTAGTTGTTTATTTTTAGAATGCTACTTTCGAACAAGTTAATTATTGAAAGGATGTGCATAAAGTGTAATGGGTGTATGCAAATAGAAGCTCGCTTAAGGAAACTTGAATCGACGCGATGTTTACGAAATTACCCTCGAGAACTGAGAAAAGTCTTAGTACTACCTTGGAAAAAGACTCAACCTTGAGGGTTCGTTAGGAAAGTGAGTTGCATTTTTAATTTTTTGGGTTATTTTAGTTTTGGGTTAAAAAGTCTGATTTAGAAAAGGTTTTAGGTTTTTTTTGACTTTTTAAATTTTTTTGTGAGAGAAAGAATGTAATGATTATAAATTTAATGTAATATTTTATTTTATTAAGTTAAAAAATCTATTTTATTTTTTTTGTGACTAAAATAGTTAAAAAAATTCTAACTTAGGCCTCGTTTGGGAACCCTCAATTTTAGTCAAAAAATTAAAAAGTTACTAATTAGCCAAAAAGTCAATAACCCATACCAAAAAGGCAAAGATTCTCTTTTCTCTTTACTTTTTGCAAATTTTTTCGTAAAAAGTCAAAAAGTCATCCCAAACATACTAGTTTTTTTTAGCTCATATTTTAACCAAATAGTCAAAAAGTTACTAAATTAACCTGTTTCCAAACGAGGCCTTACTTCTCAGGCTCCGTTTGGCAAGAGCTAAACGAGGCTTTTTTGGTTATTTTAGTTATAAAAGACAAAATATGCTATTTTAACCACAAAAAATAAAATATCACATCTAACTCATAATCATTACATTCTTCTCTCACAAAAAAAGTCAAAAAATTCTTCCCAAATCAAACTTTTTAACTCAAGTTAAAATAATCAAAAAAATTAAAAAATTAAAAAGCCAATCCACTTTTCAAACTGAGGCTCCAACGATGCCTAGAGGCTGAGCTAAGGTTTGTTCGGTAAATTAGGACTATCGTCTACCTAAAGATTATTATATTCCACAAATTCAAAAGGTTGCGGCAATCTAATCTAATGTATCTTTATGTAGAGGAAGAAGAATAGATTAAAGATTATTTACACATTTGGCTTCTTCACAGAAATTACATTATGGATTTATTTGGAAAGTGAGTTGGTTTTTTAATTTTTTGATTTTTTAATCATTTGATTAGTTAATTACACATTTGGCTTCTTCACAGAAATTAAAGCTCGGTTGGAACTAAATATTTTAATTAAAAAATCAAAAAAATTATGACAAATTATCACATTATTTTTTTTATTTTTTTAACATATTTTTTTTCATAAAAAATTTAGAAATTATCTATTATTATCGTAGTTTGTTTGTATGTCGTTTTCTTGCAGTGGTGAGATGGAGAGATGTCCACCTCGGAGTCTCTGGCAAAGATAAGACGAGATCTAGAGAGAGACAGTGTGCATCAGCGAGTCTTCTGGGAGATTTTTTATTTTTTTTATTTTAAAATTATTTTATTTTTAGATAAATTATAAACACATCTTTTGAGATTTACTTAAATTATAAATTATTTTTTGTAATTTTAAAAATTACATTAAGAATTTTAAATTTCATAATAAATATATCATTTTCTTAATAAATTATCAAGTTAATTAACAGTTTTTAATAATGTTAAAATTTTATTTATAGGTCATTTTATTAATAAATCATCAAGTTAATTAATAATTTTTAATAATGTTAAAATTTTATTTCAATTAATAATTTATATAATTTTATTATTATATAGGTGAACAGTTAAAAATTTTATTTTTTCAATTAATTTTGTTAAATAAAAAATTCTGACAATAAAATATTTATAATTTTTTAAACCATAAGGACCCATTCGTATTTTAAACAATTTGTAATTTATCCTTTATTTTTTGGGTCAAACTGCACAAATGAGACGATTACTCCAGGCACACGATATTTTTTAAAGCTCACTGCTCTCGGGTGAGCCCATGCATATATATTTTACAATTATAACCTTATTCACCATTTGTAGGGTGTAAATTTAGTCTGACGCGGCTTATTTGGACTCGGGCATTTGTCAAAATCCAGATTGATTCACAGGTCAAAAAATTTGACCCAAGTCCTAAGAGTATTTGGGCTTCAGACGGTGGCGGACGAGTCTAGGCTTGGATTTGGACTTGGGGCGAACTTGAGCTAGGTCTGATCATTTTTTTCATCAATTTTTTATTTTTTTGTTTTCACAAAAAATGACATCGGACCTCTGGTCAGACCTTGAGAAGACTGATGGGCCAAGCTGGGCTCTAGAACACACAACCTAGGCCCAGACCCAAGGTCTCGAGCTGGGCTCGAACCCGGACCTTGTTGGAACAATCTTCTGTGTAAATAAAATAAATTGAAATAATTCAAACAAAATAAAATAAAACTTACAGAATTTATTTTGTTGAACTGAATCAATAATTAAAGACCAAGTCGAGTGTGTAACACTCTGTTCTTAAGACAGATTCGCCCCGCTTCGATGCTTATGGTTGAGTGGTGTCTATCTCCCAGGATACAATGATCTTCACAAATTTGTAGAAGCACTTCAAACAAATTTGTTCAGCGAACCAAACCTATGTTCTAATACTCTCTTTATTTAATTCTAAAACTAGAATGCAGAATAATGCGAACAAAAATAGTTTGGACAGCAAGACAAAAACTTCAGACTGTTTTCGGATAGAAAAATGGATCTCCAAGACTGCTGGAATTGATGGGTATAAATAGGCAAACACTGCTGTCTGAATAGGTTCCAAATTTGAATGAACAGATGTGATTTGAAAAGAATAGGTGCAAATAGTAATCGAACAGATAACTGCTGCAGTGTTGAACCTGTCCGGGCAGTTTTTCCAAATTTGAATCTGTCCGAAATAAACCTGTTCGGGTTCAATAGGTAAGACCTGTTTGGACTGTTTTGGAATTTCAGACTGAAAGAGATAAATATAGACAGAAAACCAATTCAATTTTTGGCACAAAATTTGAATTTAATTTAATTTAAAATTCAAACAAATTTTGTCCAGAAAATTAATATAAGAACCGACCCTTTCCACAACCCACACTCGCGCTCGGCACGGCCGGACGGATGGCGGCGGTGGTGCGTGCGTGGTGGTTTGGGCTAAGGTTCACTTTGTCTGTAATTCCTCCATTCTACAAACTTGGGGTGCCCCTTGGGACCCAACCCAAGTGTTGTACGCTAGAGCTTATAAACTCAACAAAACTCTCTTAAAGTTTCAATGTGGGACAACCCTTTCCAAAGAAACCCACATTTACTTCCTTAAATTTCTTATTCCACGAACCAGAAAAGGACGTCATGTTCCTATTCACTAACAAATGGTTTTGACGAACCGTCTTCACCGTGTGACTTGCCACGCGGCAAGGAACACTTCACCTCTTCGAACCCGCCCCAAAAGATGTTCGGGGCCCACTCAATTTTGGGTTCAAAGTCCGTCCAAAATATGTCTATATTAATCATTTTTCCAACAATCCCCCACATGAATGGAATTTGACGGAAAGAAACTGCAACAACATGATCTAAATACAGAGAGTACAGAAATTGAAAATATTCTGCAAATGATAGGTAGCTTTTGGCTTTGAACCTTCCCTTGTGAGACACTATCGGATTTACTAGCTAACCAGTGAACATGATGTCTTGAATTGTTCAGCCGTTTGTGTAAACCAAGACAATAGAACTCATACAGTATATCCCCAGACACAGTTTAGTTCTCACTATTGTGTTCATTTTGGCCCTGAACAACCTTGTCTTTCATGAGTGCTCTATAGACTTGTAGCCCTTCACAAATCTTATAGAATCGGCCCAGTTCACACTCACATAGATGATTCTTATGAAGAGTATCCTGCCATACTCCACTAAGTTTACCTAGATATAAGAATCATTAAAATTTTACTTAACCTCAAACGCTGCAGAAGACATCACTGTTTCATCAAAGAAATGGGTAGGAGTTAGACTCCCCAGTGATCCTTCTGAGTCATTCACAACTCGGTTGTCCATTTGAACCTAGATCTTGGGATCTCTAGTCAACTAGGTTGGGTTGCCGTTGTAGTAACTTTTATTTAATAGGCTTTAGTCCCATTCCTTTTGATGAATTCTCAACTAGCTCTCTTGCTAACCCTTTGGTTAGTGGATTTGCTATGCTGTCTTTAGACTTAACAAATTCTATGGAAATAATTCCATTAGAGAGTAGTTGTCTTACGGTGTTATGTCGACGATGAATGTGTCGTGACTTACCATTATACATATGACTCTGTGCTCTACCTATAGCTGATTGACTGTCGCAATGTATGCATATAGCAGACACCGGTTTTGGCCATATTGGAATATCTTCAAGGAAGTGACGAAGCCATTCTGTCTTTTCCCTTACTTTTGTCTAAAGCTATGAATT